TTTAGGAAAAGGGTAGCAGAATGAAAGCATGCTCAGTAACATATTGGGTCTTCCTCCGGTGTTCAGGTATAGTGCCTTCATTGACCTACCAGGTGTTTTTCATGAAGAAGCTGTGGACGAACACGGTTCCAGGCAAAGACTCCTTCGCAGACTCCATCTTCCATTATTATCAGGTGAGCTTCATAAACAACATTTATAATTCATAAAACATGAATTATATACATCAGCTTATCTTTCTAACACTTCCCATGTGAAGGAACTTCCAAAGTATCTCCGTGGATACCACAAATGCTCCAGAGAAGAAGTTTTCCAGCTCGGCGCTCTGATCTACCGGGTCAAATTTGAGGATGACAAATCCCACTTTCCCAGTATTCCCAAGATGCTGAAGGAGCTGATTCCTCAGGACCTGATCCGCCAGCTCTCGCCTGACGACTGGAAAAGGGTTTGTGTCGCACTTTCAATGTTCTTGGCTGTCTGCGTCCTTTATATAAACATCCTTGTAGTTGCCTAAATTATGCATCATTTTTATGATCCGACTGGCTCACCCTCATCTGTTCCTCCTCTTGTTGCAGTCGATTGTGGCGTTCTTCAACAGACATGCTGGGAAATCAAGGGAAGAAGCCAAGCTGATGTTTCTGAAGCTCATTTTCAAATGGCCCACGTTTGGTTCAGCCTTTTTTGAAGTGAAGGTAACTGTGCTCTGTTAACGTGGTTTGGAAAGCTGGCATTTTCTTACTATAACCTTTTTGAAGCTCAGTGTTTTTTCTTTGGATGGACCAATCAGTCTCTTGATATTTGAAATTTTCTCCCATAGCAAACCACCGAGCCACACTTCCCCGAGATCCTGTTGATAGCAATCAACAAATATGGAGTCAGCCTAATCGACCCCAAGAACAAGGTGCGCTCTCTTTCTGTTGTGCTGTTTTAACTAAGTAACGTTTTTTTTATAGTCTAAAACTTGCTGTGACTTGTATTCCAACGCAACTTATATAATGCAATTAACGTCAAGCACACAAAACATGCGCACACATTTGGTTTGGGGTCTAATGAGAGAGGAAGTGAGTCCATGTTAATTTGTATAGCGTATTTCCACATGCCGATAGTTTCAGTTTCGCCTTTAAATTCACTTAGGCTTGGTATTTATAATAAATATCATTTATATTGAATGGCACTATAATTTGTTTGTTTTGTTCTTATATTTTTCTTTCTTGTTCAGTTGTGAACGCTGTTAAATTTAAAGAATTAATACTGTTTAAGGATTAATAATGTTAATATATTAACAATATGTTGTGATTTACAAACATTATAAATCCTATAAACATTAATGTCTTATAAATATATATATATATATATATATATATATATATATACAATAGTATCTCGAAACTAGAATAATAGGGATGTAGTATACTGATATATTAGTGCTGTCAAATTGATTATTCGCATCTAACATAAAAGTTTGTTTACAACACCGGCGATATTTTATGTCCTAAATTAATACATGATTAACTAAATGTATTTTTCCATGTGCATTTCTGAAATGCACTTTCTGTAAAGCTGCTTTGAAACAAAATGTATTGTGAAAACCCGGTCTTTGATTTTGATGAACTTTTTTGATCCACTTCAAATGTTGACTACTACATATATATATATATATATATATATATATAGTATATACACAGACATATATGATATATATATAAATGTAATTATGTTGCGTTTTTTTTTTTGTCTTTTTTATTAGTCAGTGTCTTATTAATGTGTATATATAGTTTTTAATATATATATATTTTTTGTTTGTATTATAAAGTTAAACTAAATGAAAATGAGAAATGTTGCTTTGGCAACTAGCTGAAATAAAATAAGTTTAGGAGTAAACTAGAATGCATTGCAAGTGTAGTTTAGTATTATTTATGTACTACTAGTATTAATTATACTATTATTTAACATCAATATTATTCATATTTAGTATTATATACTAACTATTGTATGCTTTTATTTTATATTTCAGTTTTATTTAATGTATGTGCATTTGTCATTTTTATTAGTTTTTTATATTTGATTTGATTTCAAGCAACAGTTATTTTAATGGTGAGTGTCCAATGTTCTTGCTCTCCGTGCTGATCCCAGTATGCACTGTGCAGTGATGTTTGTGTTTCCTGTTTTCTTGATCCGCAGGATATTTTAACCACGTATCCCTTCACGAAGATTTCCAATTGGAGCAGCGGGAACACGTACTTCCACATCACTATCGGGAACCTGGTTCAGGGCAGCAAACTTCTGTGTGAGACGTCACTGGTGAGAGAAACTCTACTTAACCCCATTCACACTACAAGCGACAAAGCGATATGATATTATTTATTTCAATGGGTGAGCGGCCGATTTCTGGCAACGCGCGTGACAGCGACCATTGGTGACCAGATGGGTGACAAGAAAAAGTTGAGATCTGTTTAACTTTATGCAAATGAAGAACGACTTTCGGGAGTGCCAACCAATAGGAGTGAAGTCAGTGGAGCGCGTCACTCTCGAGAAGCTAATTTTAGCAGTCAGAAGCTGTCCTGTAATTCATGATATATCTCTGTGTACATACAGTGGTATTCACCGTACCGACTCCCTGTCTGAATGGTTTCGGGAACCCAGATAGACGGGAATTTGGCCGTTTGCTGCAGTTAAATAGCCACGATGGCAAAGAGCACTCACTGTTTCTCGTTCATCTTTAATATTATGCGTTTTATGTACTGATTCCATTTATATTTAGACTTTTACTTTCCGCTACAAACAAACATTTTGGGAGGAAATTTATTTGTTGTCTACAACAGAGAAACATCCGTGAATGTCACTCACAAACATTACTAGGCAACCAGTTGTGGGAACGCCCTCCAGCGCAGCCACTGGCGACCTGCAGCGACAAAGCCGCTTGTAGTGTAGTGTGAACGGGGGTTTACTCTAAATGCTGCTATTATCCTTTTTTAATGAGGTTCATTTAGTAAATGATTTAATTAAAGCTACACTGTGTGATTTTTACCCCCATCTAGTGACCATCCAGTGAATATTAGTTTCTGTTCCTCTCAATTCCGATTTCGTTTCAACTCCTACGGTAGCCATTGTAGTCCAAGATTAACATGGCTTCCAGTTCGACCTCGTCCATGAGTGTTAACTCAAACGTAAACGCAAAAGGCGAAGCTTGAATTAACGGGTATGTCCCTCTTTGGCTAATGTACTTTCAAGAAGTAGGGGCAACATGGCGACCCCTTACCCGTATCTATTTTCAATGACATATTATACACTCACGAGAATACTTTATTACTTGAACGAAGTAAATACATAAATGAGCACATATATTTTTGAAAGAACTAAGTGTTTTTAGCTAAGAATAAACTAAAAGAGTTACACAGTGTAGCTCTAAGGAAATTTGTTTTCTTCATAACAGGGCTACAAAATGGATGACCTGTTGACGTCATACATTAGCCAGATGTTGACCACCATGAGCAAGCAACGCAACTCCCGCGGCCACAGCAAGTGAACGTTTGATTGGCGTGAGGCGGTGGAGCTGGTGCGTCTGCTGCGCCCAATTGGTCGGCCCTGTAGCTGGGGGCGGGCCTTCGCGTCCCAGCTGTGGCAGATGAGCCGCACCCCCTCTGCCAGCTCCCAGGGCTCCGTGTACCCCGATGAAGACTCTTCATCTGCCTCCAGTGAGGATGACTACCTCTGAGCAAAGCTGAAGGGACTTTGCCTCCTTGGAAATGGCGTGAAGAACCTGAATTATGCATCTTTCGTTGGATGGTTTGCTCCAGAATATGTATTCTACAGTATGACTTAATGCACAATTTAGGTACCATTTAATACGTTTTGTGAAATCCAGCCAAGTCAAACATGAACTGGAATGGCTAGCTAACATGCATCGCAAAGCATTCATCAACATTTTGGAATTTTTCCTCACAATCACGTCAGTGAACGAACAGTATTTGGATTGTTTAGGTGGTAAACAACACTGCTAATGCACAAGAAAAATACTTGCCTGAGTTTCTGGGGGTTTTGATAGAATTCGAGAATTCTGTGATTTCAATGTAAGTTTTTAAAATATTGTTAAACTGCATGCCTTATTACTATTTTTTTTTTTTTTTTTTGTGGAATAATTGTTTTTACAGGCTTGGAAAATTGTTACATGTTCAACATTCATGCAGCTTTGACTTGTAGTGTACTTTAGGGAATGTTAAAATGGCCTTATTGCATCCCTAGAAACAAGCCGAGAACTGTTTCAGATCGTATTTCTCCCATTTCAAGCAAAATAAAGAAATTATATTTTGCATACAGGAAAATGAAATGTTTTTAGAAAGCTAGTTGGTTGCACTGCCTGTAATGTATAATATAAAAACATTAAAAAGTGCATTATAGTGTATGTCCGGAAGCATGGGCTTAATTGAGATACAGAAAATTAGTAGTCATTACATAGTGTATACCATAATTTTTTTTAAAAAAAAAATCTTCATGCTTTTGAAAACAAGATTGGGTTGAAATGTGACCTAGACATGTTTCCAAGAGATTCGCCCAGTAACTGATAAATAGATACGTTAGAATGACGCTGTACTTTGTCATTTTTGAAACTGTTGATGCTTGTGTATGTTGCAAGAGTAGGTTTGATCTGTTAGACTTTTTCTTTAGTTAATTTATGGCCTTTATTTGCACCAATATGTCCTTCAGCACAATTATTTGACTGACTCACTGTGACATCAGAAACTAACCTGTACAGAACACGTCTGTTTCTCATGTTTTATTTGTGTGGTAATTAGCAGATCAAGTTCTGAGTACTGTTATTTTGCCATATGTAAACTCGCACCAGAGTTTAGTTATAAATAAAATTTTATATGAAACATTCCTGTAAACAGTGCAGCGTTTATAACAAAACTAAACATGGGTTCAATATTTCTGTGATGTGATGCTGATATTCTCACATCCTGTATAGATCAAACCTTTTGTAAAGATACATATTGAGGCATATCTTGAGTCTGCTAAAAATATTTTTATTTAGGCTGTAAGTGCTGATGATAGAGTAACAAAAAGAGACAAAAACAAAAAAAAAATCTGACAATATCAGATCAGAATATTATTTAAGGTCAGTTTACAATCATATTTACAGTCTCGAGTTACATCGAAAGATTAAGTAAATAGAAATCACGCTAGGCATTGCATTTTATACAGGCAGCATCCCATGAAAAGAGCAAGAAAACATGTATGCGATCCAGCACTCACTGTTTGAAGTACATGCTGCATGTCTGCGGTACGATGAGCTCACGCACGACCACTTCCAAAATAAAGACATTTCCAAGTTCATCAGTAGCCAGAGCACTTCTATACAACTCAAGAAGTTGCGTTCGAATTCACATCAGCAATTCCAGTGTCAAAAATCCCAACATCGAAATCTTTCAAATCGAGATTGTCCGTTTGGCTTTTTACCGTCGTCTTCCCGATTGTAAATGTTTTGTCAAATTTATCACACCATGCAATGGATCTGACATCATTTCCAAAACTCTCTATTTTACCATGCGTCATTCTGCAGTAATCAGGCTTGCATTGAAAAATAGCCAAATTCTGTCTTTGATAAAAACGAACTTCACAGAAGCAAAAGAAGCTGGATGATCGATTCATCTAATGCCACCAATTCAGAAAAGAATTGGTCAAATACAGTTGATATTTTTAACAAAATATCACTAACATATGTTTTCTATGAATGACCTCTCAGAGTACCCGAGTACCATGTAAACTCCATGGTACATGAATTTCAAGGTACTGCCAAAGTATAAACCCCAGAATATATGAAAACTGTCTATATTTTGCATGATGATGCTGCTGATATAGCGATGATGCTGACAGCGATGCAGGCTTCATGCCTTCCACAGATCTCTCTGTTGTCCTTTCAGATGGGCGGTTCCTCAGAAATGGTGGGCAGATTGGGAGCGAGGGGCGAGCTCTGAGCCTCTCCACGGACACTGATGCTGGAGATGGACCAGACGTCGCTCAGCTCTGCCGTACAGGGGAGGGAGAGAGACGGCTCAGTAATGAGAGTGACGGAGGGTCAGATGGGTACGGGGAAGCCATGCACAGGGGGAACATGCATAGGGTCCAGGGAGAGTGACGGCCCGTCAAAGAACAGGGGGTTCCAGCGGATGCCTTGGACCTCAGAGCGTTCTACAGCACAGAGAGTCACGTTCAGACAGCGCCACAGGACACACAACTAGGGTTTCTGGGATGGTTGCAGGAAAATCTGACTAATGCGATTTTTTTTCTACTTCACATTTGCTTAGAAAATTAATAGTCATTACAAAGTGTATACCATGCCTTTGGTATACACTATATGTAATGTTTACTATTTAAATCAGGGATTTCCAAATCTTTTTTGTCATCTGAACCACTTTGAGGTAAAATATTTACATGAAGCCAGGATTAATATCGTTAAAAAAAAAACTGTTAATTGAAATAAGACATATTAATAGTAGTTAAAATGCTATATGAACATTTTTGGATTTAAAATGTATGATTTAATTTTAATCCCAGACTTTCAAGCAAAAACTATTTTTATATAGCTTATATATCTAGTCTATATATCAACTATTTCCATGTGAAATATTTGTATATTATTATAAATATGTATACACATAAGCTATGTGTGTGCGTGTTATATTTATACACAATATATATATATATATATATATATTATATGTAACATGTACCATGTACTATTTACATAACACATATTGCATATTAACCATAACACACACACAAGAACATTCTGGCTGTCTATGGGTACAATGGGTACAAAATATGCAACAATAATAGAAATAATTCATCAGAAATAAAGTTGCTTATTTTGAATTCAAATTTGTGTCATTAGATAAAATAACTGGCAAGAAGGATGAGTTAAAATCGTGTTTGGCTTAGGTTGACCAAAAATACAGCATCACACACACACAGTGTGCTCTGTTGTATATTGCAGATTTGGCAACAGTTGTATGATCATCTGCCATTCTGAAAATAGCCACCAATCTGTACAGCACATGCAGGACGACGAGCCAAAACCATGAGAGACTTCGAGCCAAAAATGAACAACTTACCAGTCCTGAACTTGCTGTATGGTCCATTCTCATTGACCTGTCTACTACCGGACCAGAAGGGTAAACCTCGCTCACGCCACCTGGAGGAGGAAACATCACATGCGGAGTTCATCACATCCCAATAAAAAGAATGTTGCCATGGTTTCTTTTTTAAGCCTTCAATTTTGAGGAAGAACATTGCAAAAGACGTGGAATAACATGCATTTAATAAAATGATGGAAAGAAATCTCCTTGTAATCTAACAAATAAACAGTGCCCTGAAAATAGAAAACCAAAGGTGTTTGTATAAAATGGTACTTTTTCCAGAGAATGGTTAAATTGTTAAAAATGCTTTTTTAAGGCTATAATGTTACCCATAATCTGTGTTTTGGTACATACTGCAATTGATGCAATTCTAATCTTGCACTTTTGCTAATAATTTACTAACCCATATGTCATCCAAGATGTCCATGTCTTTCTTTCTTCAGTCGAAAAGAAATTAAGGTTTTTGACAGAGGTGGGGGACTCGAGTCACATGACTTGACTCGAGTCTGACTCGAGTCACAATTTTCAGGACTTGTGACTTGCTTGATTAAAGTACAAAAATGACTTGACTTGACTTTGACTTGAGAACAAGTTACTTGAGACTTGACTTGACTTGAAGTGGAAGACTCGACAATGACTTGAACATATAATAAACAAACAGCAATACAGTTAATTAAAATATATATTATGGCGTCAGCATCAATATATCGGCATCTGTGCCTTTACGCTGCTCAATTCAAACCGCGCCAAACGGAAGTTCCGGGAGTCTCACGCATATTGATAGCGTCTCCCTGATGCCCGCAAATGAGTTAAAATCTCCCGGAATCTAGAGCGAGATACTGCGCGTATAACATACATAGCGTGCGGCGTGTGCACGGCAGAGATATGGGAAGCCAAACAAACCAAAAGTGGGACGAGACAGCGGGGCTTTACAGAGCTCGTGCCGCGCAGACATGTCATCTGCACGGTTCAATGATCCGAGCCGCGCAGCCGATTCGTCAGCGCAGCGCGGACGTGTTTCCTAGCGACACTCAATAGTCAACGCTGTACTGACCAATTTAAAGCAACGCAAACCATATGCTACATACTACATGCAAATAAATGTACAATAAAGAAACCCCTCCTTCCTTACAAAGAATTGTTCTCTACTGAAGTTTAGGAGTTAATTATGGAGAATTCCATAATTAAAACAATCATTTGTTAATATTTATGTAAATTTAATATATAATATTCATAATATTATTTAATATGTAATATTTATTAAATATAAAATATGTTAATATAACATATTACCATTTTTATTTTATATTTATTTTAAACATATTTTAAATATGTTAATATAACATATATTAACCCCCCCACCCCCCCCCCCCCCACCCCTAACATTACATTCATTGAGATATACCTCCCTGAAATGAATTCTTGTAGGTTGGGATGTCTGTATATGCAGCATAGATATATACACGGCTGTGCAGCTGCAAATGCGTTTTACATATAGGTTTCAGTAAATCGAGGAAAAGGAGTTTCCGAAGACATTTGTTGGCTATGATAAGAAAAACTACTGAATTAAAAAAAAAAATGCATTTTATATTCTCATACATTTCATACATTTTATATTTTACATTTATATAAGATATAAGATATTACATTTTAGATTTCATACATTTTAGACCGTTTCAATTAAATTGAATTAGACAGATTGGATTATACATCTTAGAATCGATACATCTTAGACTCTGAACGTTTTGTGTAAACAACACAATTTTATTTTATTTTCAGATATTAATGTAGCACAGATATGCATATGATTAATATAGCAAATGTAAGATACATAATATATGTATAAAAGTTCATCTTTTCTGTGCAAAAATAAATATGTATCGAAAAAATTTACCTCTATTTATTTTAGTAGTGTGACTTGACTTTACTTGAAACTTATCAGGACTTGACTTGACTTGCTTAGGGTGAACCCTTGACTTGACTTGACTTGCTTGATTTATCTGAACTGCGACTTGAGACTTGACTCGAGACTTGATGGTTAAGACTTGAGACTTGCTTGGACTTGACTATGTGTGACTTGTCCCCACCTCTGGTTTTTGATGAAAACATTCCAGGATTTTTCTCCATTTAATGGACTTCAATGGGAACCAAACGGTTCAAGGTCCAAAAGACACTTTCAGTACAAACTGCAAACTGTTTAAAGGGCTTTAAACGATTCCAGATGATGAATAAGGGTCTGAACAAGAGAAACGATCGCTCATTTAATTAATAAATAACACAGTTTAAGTTTTATAAGCACAAATGGTCGCCTTGCTCTGTTCTGTGACGCACGTTTGTGACTCTCCTGTTTGAACTCGTTCATCAAAATGAACAAATCTTTTTCCGAGTCATTTGATTCATTCAAAGAACGAAATAAACGAATTGACTCGGAAAAAGATTTGTTCATTTTGATGAACGAGTTCGAACAGGAGAGTCACGAACGTGCGTCACAGAACAGAGCAAGGCGACCATTTGAGCTTATAAAACTTAAACTTTGGTGTGTTTTTTTTTTTAAATGAGCGATCGTTTCGCTTGATAAGACCCTTATTCATCGCCTAGAATCGTTTAAAGCCTTTTAAACAGTTTGCACTAATAAAAGTGTCTTTTGGACCTTAAACCGTTTGGTTCCCACTGAAGTCCATTATATGGAAAAAATGCTGGAATGCTTTCATCAGAAACCTTAATCAGTCAACTACTCCTTTAATCAGATATTATGCAAATTTGATCTGAAATATTTTTAACCTGTTGACAGCCCTTATTTGAAAATAGATCTGAACTTTAATGGTTGTAATTCATGAATGCATTGGAATACAGACTTAAGTTGGTCTCTTTTTAAAGAAGACTAAAGATTATTGCAGAAGTGAAAAAAAAATAAAGTGTAAAAAGTTCTAGACACTTAATGTTACTGTAAAGCAAATGCACAGAAGTAAAAATTTTATATTTTATCCAAAATATATATAAATAATTAGCTAGAAAAATCAAAGCCGCATGTCTAACCAAGTTGTGTTCCAAATTTGAAGTTTGATATCACAAAAATTGAGCATCATCTATCCATCATCTCTTGTGTTACCTTGGACGCAGTACTTTGAGTGTTTAAGCTTTCGAATGATGCCTGATTTAAAACGATTGCTAAAATATGTGATTGGGAAAAAAGCAATAAAAAGGTGTGCCAATTGTCCCAATACTTAGACATTGACAGTTACAGTACCAGTCTCCAAATACTTGAACGTGTCATGCATGTATGTTTGAAACTAAACAGCAGGTTAGTGGAAGCAGAACTCACCAGTGGAATATGAAAACGGCAGTGATGAAGAAAGCAGAGACGATATCTGTCAGAATCCACATCAAACTGTATTCGTCTGGAGTCTGCGCAAGGATTTGTGAGGAAAAGAATGGTCACAGTCCTTTGAATGATAGAATATGTGTGCTCTCAAAGCTAGGCTCAACTCACCATGAGGAACAGGGGGCGCTGCAGTTTCTTAAGGATGTGCAGGGCGTTGGTAGTGACCGAATGAACGCCGGCGCACCATGCCAGTGAATACAACCACGGCTGACTGATCACGTACAGGTTAGTGCTGATGTTCACAGAGGCGTACTTTCTGAAATCAGAAAGGTTCATTCACATGTCTCACCTCACCAAATAATTTCAGTTATTTAAAAGGTCTTTACAGCCTACAAAACCAAAACCCACAACTACACTGACCGAGCAAATAAATATAGTAAACAATGGGATAAAAACGACAAATCATTTCCATGTTTTTGCTTCAAAATTGCATTTTATTAATGCAATATCTCTCTATAATGGCATTAACAACTGCATTTGTCTGCTATCAGTGGCTCAAGCATTGGGAAGCACCGGTAGTAGGACTACATGTATAGGAAATTAGTCCTACACACAAGAGCCTGACAAATGTCTTGAAATGCCTCATCTGAACAATGTGAGATGCGGTAGCCATAGTACAAGTAGAATACGGTAATTGACTCTAAGCCATTGAATTATTAAAAAACTATCTATGCGACACAACCTGACATACCTGATCTGATCCTGTGACATGGAGCTGTAATGGAGGTTGAGTCGGACTATATGTTCCTCCTGCAGCTCCTCTATCGACGCATGATCTCCAGAAGTTTGCTGCAACTCTGGATCCAGCTCCTGTACCACACTCCTCTGATCAGCCGGCAGCCACAACACCTACCAGTTAATAGGCCAAAAAAACACACCATAATACATCATCAGCTCTTTTTTTTTTATTGAACCGTTTAAAAATGGAAACACATAATGCCATGAGGTGGTCACATGACATTATAATGCCATTGTTTAAGGTTATTAGAACATGTCAGCATCCAACTAGGGTTCATGAACTACCTGACTGGAGTTAATGAAGGACTCGTTGTGTATGACCTCCAGGGTGCGAGTGATCCACGTGTCCCTGTACGGGTGGCCTCGGGGTGGACGTCTGAGGTCGAAGATCACCAGTCTCTCGTGCCGAGCGGCCAGATTCAGGAACTCTTTCAGTGTTGGTACAGTCTGGTTCTGGACCTGAACCCTCTCGTTTATATCGAGAGAGGCGGCTGTACTGAAAGGATCCTTCTGAGAGGAGATAGAGACAGAGAAGACTGGTTAACTTGAGTTCAGGCATGCAGTTTTATAGATCAATTATGAGATCCAACATCTCAGATGTTGCTTTATACACATTTATAATACAATCCACAAGCATTTAGCTTGATCAAAGCCAAGGATAACTCCCTCTATTGAACTTTAAACTGGCTGAGGTTGAGCATTGTATTTTAGGGTTGTAACAGTGGTGACGCAAGGCTCCTCCTGGCAAAGCCTAATTCCAGCTAGAATCCTTTAATCCCAATTGATTCCACACAGGAATTTAAGAGGGATTTTTAATTAAGGGGCCAAGAACCAAAGCATATATGGATGTGCACTGCATTATGATTTTTATGGTTTTATAAACCATGAGTTGTTTTTAATCTGTTTTTGACCACGACATCCTAAAATAACCCATGTGATTTCTCTGAAAATATGAATATAATATCCAGCTTTGAAGAAAAACTCATAAAAACAACAACACACAAGTATAACGGATACCAAAACATTAACAACAAAAGAAAATAGTGCTTTTACTCTTTCTGCAATATACACTAATTTTCTGCATTTTAAACTAATTTTGTTTGCATGAAATTAATACTGCATCCACAATGCATTGCATATATCCACTATGAATTTTTTATGAATTTTTATTTTAGTTGACTAGTTACTTGATCATACTGCCCAATGTTAAAACACGTTTTATTAAATATAGTATAATATTTATATATTCACATATATAACAATTATTTTATTAATTTACATGATTTTTTATTAAAAAATGACAAAATGCAAAATAGCCATTATATATTCCAAGGAGATAACTGGATGCCACTTGAAGGGGCGAATCTTATTTATTATCTACGCCAGATAATTTATCTCAGTATCAAATATGAATGTAAGCATGAACCATTTAATGTACCATTTTTTAGCAGATATGCTTGGTAAGTCAAAAGCATACAGCACAACCAGTGAAGCTCAAATGGGTGGGTTTCCAGTTGTTCATGATTCGTAAAATTAGATGGGATTGTGGTTTTAATTCCCACAACTCTTCTCCTCGTTTATTTTGACCTTTGTCGAGTACCTTAATTATTTTTTAGTGGCGCACGGATTCTCCAACCGTCCGCTGCACTTTCATCATCCAAGAAAATAAAATGAAACCAATAGCCAAGGAGATCTCAATCACACACCCTAATAGAAGAGCTAGCTAAGAATCAAACCTTACTTAAATGGATTAAAGACAAATTTTCTGTTGGCTTGACAAAGTCTTATTTTGAATAGGTTTTTTTGCTCTCAAATATGATGCACTAAAACTTATATCCTCCAAGTAGGCCACATAATATTGATAAAAAAAACAAAAGAACAAACATCTCTAAGTACTAATGCTAGACCTGCTCATACAAGCTCATCATTTAAAGTGTGTTGAAGTGTTTAATAGACAGTGTCTTGGTGCCCTGGAAATTGATATTTTGGGTAAATTGGCTCTTACGAAGCGGTTACACGTACACATAGCCTAGCCATCAATATATTCATATGACTGCTGATTTAAGAGCAGGAACCCAAGGTGCTGGATCATTACCCGAAGAAACCAGGACCCAGCGCTGAGCATCTCCAGCTCTGCCCAGGTGAACATGGCCGCCGGGTCATTCGTCCGGTTGGGAAACACTTCATGCACGTTGGTTGTCCTCCTCAGGGTGCTGTCGTGCATCAGGAATGGGACGCCATCAAAACTGCAAAGAGGAATATTGTTTTTAGCATGCTCAAAAAGGTTGGCAGCTGTTTTTGCATTCTGTGGAATCCACTTCAGTTTGTTTTAGATACATTTTTTCCCATCTAAATTATGAAAAATGAAAAAGCCAACACAAAGATAATGCAAAGTATTGTGTTATTTTAGTATTATTTAAAATTGTGCGTCATTCCCTTGCTCCTCATATTATCAGGTCACATGCTTCATGTGTGATGTTTCATTGGTTGTTCTACTCATGTTGTTCTCTGTTTTGTTTTGTCATTGGATCATTGTTCATTGCTTTTATGTGCGTCTTGTTTTTTGGTAAGTCCTTCGTTTTTAGGCTTGTTCGACTTGAAGCAGTGCATGCCGGTTAGAAATTGTGTCCGACTTGAGACAGCGGCGACACCACGTGACTGTGACGTATGCCATCAAAGTAGCGTGAGAGTGACTCGAGAGCAGCCGGAGGACTCAAGAGCGGCCGCACGAGCTCTTATGACGACACGGCTGTTCCAGGATTAGCCCGATTCACCGCATGACAACGATCACGTGTTTTGTGTTTGTTCGAACACCTTCAGTTCCACTAATGCACACAAATCAGGTTTTTTAAGACAGTAAAAGCTTTTTCATGTAGTTGTGATGTTATATTGTCAAGTCATCAAACCTGCGTAATATAAGCTGTAAATAGACAACATGCTCCCTCATCTTCATCCTTGCTTCCTAGGGAGCGCGCTAACAGGATTAGTGTTCAGCTAATCACATTAACCTGAGAGCACTGACTCATCCAGGAGCGGTTAGCATCAGATCTCCATTTATACGCCTCTTGGCTAGAGCAGACCTTTAGAGGAAATGACCTTGTGAATGAACGGCCCATTGATGGTTTGCTGATGTATTTGTAGCAGTAGATTACAGAAATGTCGTAGAATTAATTTGAAAGGAGGTTGCTGGGTATTTTATCAACATTAGCTTTGCGGTCTGTATAGGTAGCACCATAACCTTAAATGAAACCTCATAACTGACTGATCTGAAAAACTTTTCATAGACAGCAAAGCAAATAAAGCAAAGAGACTTGACTCACAACGGATTCTTAATTTTTTTGGCAAAGATAACAATGTAACAATTTTCAAAAGCAACATTAATGCATTAACTAACAATGAGAAATATATTTGTTACATGATTTATTCATCCAAGTTAGTTTTAGAGCTTTAAATACTCTATTAAAATAGAAAGTTGCATCTGTTAAGACTAATGTATTAGTAAATGTTGAAAACATTTAACCAAGAATAATAAATGCTATTTATTATTTTATTATATACTTATATATTAAGTATTATTTACTTATATATATATATATATATTTTTTTTTTTTTTTTTATTTGACCTTTATTTTACCAGGAAAGAAGCACATTGAGATTAAAAATCTCTTTTACAAGAGCGTCCTGGCCAAAAACTGACAGACACAGCATATATATATATATATATATATATATATATATATATTACGTATTTTTAGTTAAACTTTATTTTAAAAGGTGCCCTTTTTACAGGGTAATTATAAAATTACGAAAAAATACTAATTGACAACATATACCTACTATATGATTTGGATTATGTTTAGGGTTAGTTGCTTATAATTATACATAATTTTACTGGTTTTACTATCGTAAGTACATGTAAGATGTATAACAGGGACTAATGCGAACAAATACAGTAGAAGCTCAGTGCCCATTGTTTGTATTTGTTTTAAGCCTATTTTTCAGTTATGTACTTTATTTAGTTTCTGCTCTTGTGTTGATCTAGTTTTTTTAATAAATATTATTTTTTTATTATAGTGGTTGTGCCTTTTTGTGTTAAAATGGTGTATTGGTGTCTCAGCCGCGAAGCTGATCTCCTATGTTCAGTGCGAGGACATGCACAGAGCGGCTGAAATGATAGTGTCTGACAGTTATTATAACATATGACAAAAACAATTGTCTAAATTAGGTTGCATATTCCTCAACAGTTCTTGTGCTGATATCTCTAGTTCACAGTACTATTTTCAGAAATCATAGGCTATAGCTATAATATTGTGCAGTGGCACGTGATGCAACGCTGTCAGAGCCGACAGACCCCAGTGTGTCATTTCACTGCAAAATAATTAGGCCAAAAATGATTTAATATACTTCAATAGACTACTAGTTTTCATCTTTATTTATAATTAATTTAGGTGGACAAGGCTACCAAGTAGTTTAATCTAACTAATCAATTTTCTTTGGTTGATTACAGCCCTACTTAAAGCCAACCATTTTCCCATCTTTGCAGTGTACATAACAGAAGTTGCAAAAAGTTTACATTTATGCATTTGGCAGATGCTTTTTTACAAAGCGATATGTATTGCATTCAAGGAACAGTACACATTATATTAGATCATGCATTCCCTTGGAATTAAACCCAAGACCGTGGCAATGCAGGCACCATGATCTATAATCACTTGAATGCCTAGGAATGTTAGAAGCCATAAAAGAAGCATAACTTCTTAAAACTTAAAAGGCTTTTATACAAATACAGTAAGTAGATATGTTAAAGATGCTCACCTGATTGTGACGTCTGTCTCCAGCCCCTCTCCTCCTACTTCTACAGCCTTCTCAAAGGACATCTGGGTATTTTCTGGAGCAAGCTGTTTGAAAAGGATCAACAACGTCAAACCTTTCGACAACCATTTTGAGTCTTAACCATTGTAATCAAATCCATTAATGGTCGAACATAAGAATACTTTTTTATTATCATTCAAGAATTAAAATCTAAGTCAAGTTTACTTTTGAAAGATAAGTCGAACAGACACTGATTTTAAAGGCATGCTAACTTAAACCCACACAAAATCCACATGTGCTCTTTCAGTATTACACAACAGGGATCTTAAAATATCATGAGGTAAAAATACCACACCATGGGTGCTCCTCTATGCCCAATGAGAGTGGGTGCTGGCCCCAGCGTGCCCTCCACTTTGATGCAGGGGGAGTACATGCCCAACGGCACCAGATACAGGGTGAAGAGAACCGCCAAGTACAGACTGAGGATAGCAACCTGCCTCACTGAAACACACAAGATTCCCCTCAATGAATGTATGCAAATGAAAGACAAATATATAAAATGATGAACCGAATTATAGTTATTAGGTGCTGAATCAAGGATCCTTATATACTTTCATCTTGCCATGATGTGCCTTCCTACATTTATGTTTAAGAAATGAAAAGCTACACACAATCCATCAATTAGGGTTAGAAGAACTGTTGCCAAACATATAACATGCTAGAAACATAATCACAGCAATAATGATATATATATAGTAGTCAACATTTGAAGTGATTCAAAAAAGTTAATCAAAGTCATTTGCAAAAGTTTCTGATCTAGGCAAAATGCCATCGACATTCCTCCCCATCAACTTCCCTATCATAGCCAAATCCACAAAGCCACCCTCTTCATTGCCAAATACATAAAAACAAAAACATCAAACCGGCCAATACAATACTCAACAATCATTTATCAGCCTGAATAAACGTTCGATTCATTTAGTGAATTACAGAAAGGTAATAATGCACTGACAGGGTCCACTTAGTAACTGCAGCACCCGTTGGGTCTCCTGTAATGAGAGTTTATGTCACCTCTACACTGGCACGGCTCATCTCAAGAAGAGAGAGATGTTGTCTTTGTGAGAGAGGGATGATGGGACAAAGAGACGTCTCTGGGTGGAGGCGAGCGTCACACAGCTGGTGTGAGTTCAGCCTCTGTCCTGCATTTGTCTTTCTGACTCATTCGTCGTGCTTTCAGTAAAGCGCAGAGAGAGAGAGACGCAGACATGACTCAGCCGAACATCAGCCAGATGCAGAGAGTGAGGAAAGAGAGCAGGAGAAAAGCCAAAGGGAAAGAAGAAAAGGAGGGCAGGGAGGAGCATTGCTTTTCGAGGGCAAGCTCTTTGTTTTTTATGTGTCTAACAGCACAATGAAAAGAAAGGACAGAAGCAGCAACCGTGTTAACAACAGATAATAAATGGATTTGAGTCACTGACACCAACAAAATTACACCATTTCCATTGACTTGAGAGCAGTAATGATGCAACTGACTATAGTACTATGGTAAAACCTGCCCATTACCAACATGGACATCATGGTTTTGGTTTACAATTTATTTTACTGGGATTTCATAGATAAAATGTCCCATCTACCCCTTGTTGTTCTCTAAAATTAAACATTTTAACAGTTAAATAGTAAAATGAACATTATAAAGGTTGCCTTGGTAACTAACTAAAATAAAATATGCTTTAAGTCTGTAAAAACAGGATGTTTTAATATGGATGAATTTTCCAAAATAATTTTAGGTTTTATACCTGTATTTTGAATGACACATTGCATTGTGTTTCAGGGTTAAACAAAATGTCAGTAAACTGAGCAAATAATCTCCTTTCTGATGTCTTCTCATTTTAGTAAATCGTGACCAATATTTACAAATTGTTCCTTCCCTTGTTTTAAAGTGAACCTTGCACATGTCATGATATAATCATTTTGTTCCCTCATTTATCAAAATTTTCAGCATGATATACTAATTTGTTCCCTTGATTTAATAAGTCTTGGACACATTGTACCAATTCGTTCACTCGTTTTGATTTAACTCAAAAAAGGGAACACATTATTATATTGAGCGCACAATTTAGTAAACCGAAGGAACTAATTATTATATTGCTTTCACAATAGCGAGACACTACAGGTGAATAGGGAATTTTTTTTAAACTAGCAGATATCACCATGAAACTTTCCCAGTTGATTACTTACATTAAGATGAGAAAGAAATGTATTACACGTTTTCTGTAATTTAATGTTTAAATATGCAAATGAGGCATTATCTAATTAAATATGCACTAATTTGCATGTATTTAAAAAAAATGAAATCTGAGTATTGGATAAAGCCAGGCTCAAAATTCTATTTTCATTGTGTTCATATATTAAATGAGAAAAAAAATTACAGAGGGATTTATGGATATCTACTTTTGTTATCCTGTAAATCAGAATATACTGCCAATTGCCTTAAAAAATGATTTTCGCCATGTTTTTTGGAATAAAATGTTATATAAATCAGGCTAGGAATAATATATTTACAAATCCCTCTGTATATGTCTTCATAATATAACTGGTACTAGACTGGAAAGTCTGGTGTATATAGGTGCTCCTGAAGTGGAGATTTCGGACTTGGAGTATGAGAGAAAAGTAATTTTGAGAAAACTGCCCTTAAAGATTTAGCATCAGCCAATGAGATCACATATTTAGAGTTAAATCCCCCTTTTACTTTCATGATTGGTTGCTGATAAAAAGGAAATGACCGTATTTGGATCTGACAGCGTTGTACAGGAGAAAGAGAGCTTTCTAACTGTGTGTGTAATGATGACGGGGTCCAGATCGCGATCGCTGAGCAGCAGGATGATTTATAATGACAACTTTTGAAGAATTTATAAGAAATCTACAGACACAAACAGACAAAGTGTAGTAAAATAAAGACCTAAATGTATTTTGGACTTTTTTTCACCACAAGTCTGAAAGAAGACATGTTTTTGAAGACAAATATCCCAAAATCTCAAAATTGACTAGTGAAAAAAAAAAAAAAAAAATTGTTTTTGCCTGCCGGGTCTCACGTTAAAACGAGGGAACTAATTGTAAAACATGCTGATGTATTAGTAAGTAGTGGGAATGATTTCTTTAAAGAGTTTTCTATAGAGAGTTAGTTTACCAATAAAATGAAAACTCAATGATTCAATGCCAATGATTACTCACCCTCATGTCGTACCTAAATCCAATCTGTTCAAAATGTAAAGCAACCGAGTCTCTTTACAAAATTTGGACTAAACCGCTTGATTCATATGGATTCATAAACGAAAGTGTAATGGGTTCAGATCACAATGGCGAGTGCATGATGACAGAATTTTCCTTTTTGGGTGAACTATCCCTTTAATGTTTTCCCTGCATGTCATGTGTCTCCGTACTAGATAGCAAAATGTCTGAAATCACTTCCAGCCCCTTTAAATATATGGATGGGGAAATGAAAGTGGCTTGAGTTGATGTGCAGCACAACAAAAACAGGAAAGAGATGTCTGTCAAATATGCTTGCTTGAGCAATGCCGTGCAACACTGGGCGATTATAATGGGAGCAATCCAGTTTTGTTGCATCAATTTAGCCAGAACAAGCTGCTTTTTTGTAACTACATGGCGATTACAATCACCATCTATCCATCTACCTATTACCATTTAAATCATATCCAACTATTGGTGATTCTAAGGCCATCTCTTGCCATAAGCGAGATGCGGTCCATGAAGTTTCTTGGCAATGATTTATTTCCAGGGTGGGTTGCTAGGTCTTTCAAAGTCAATCTTCCCCAATCCCCTCGATTACATGGATTGGTACTCACACACACATGCATTCACACCTACAGACAATTTAGCACCTATACTACATGGTTTTTGGATTGTGGGGGAAACCGGAGCACCCGGAGGATACCCACGCAGACACACAGAGAACATGCAAAATACTACCCACTGAGCCATTCTTTCAAATCCACTGATGTTAGTGCTATCTGGATGAGACTAGCAGGTGTAGAGGCTATTTTTTCAGCCCAGAATCTTAGTTTTTGGCAAACACAACTAGAATGTGTTGGTTGAAATAGGATATGACCAGAATCACAATGTATTTTCATTTGTTGCCAACAAGCACCAAAAAGGATCACGTACCTCTCTTGTTCATGCGAAAGAAGTGTAAGGCTATTGGCCAGGACAGAAGTGTCATTAGGGAAACTCCGCCCAGGTGCAGAAAGGGTGCTGTGATCTGCACACAAAAACGGAAATACATAAATGCACACTGCATGAACTGCACTTGTAAATTGGAAAGCTAATTCGACTGTTTGTCCCAATTACTGTGTCGGGTGAAGAGACCCACCTGAAATGAAAGGAGCAGCGTCGTCCATTCTTTGCTCCATAAGTCAGAGAGCACAGCTGTGGCACTGATAGAGAAAGCTAGAGTCACCAGGATACCAATCTGTGAAAAGTCACAAAATACACAAACGTATATATATTTTCATCTAATAAACATTGTTATTTTTTTTTTGCTAATTAAAAAAAAAAATAGTAAAAAAATATCACCAGTATTAACCGAAAGCTGAAATAAAATATAAATATTAGATTAAGCTTAAATGAAAATTAGAAATGTTGTCTTAACAGCAACTAACTAAAATAAAAGTTTAAGCTGAAGAACTAAAGAATACCTGAAAATAAAACAAATAAATAAAAACTAAGGCAAAATAATAATACAAATTACAAAAGCACAACTAAAACTAAATAAAAAAAATAGTCAATACAAAATATCGATAAATATTAAAATAGCAAATAAATAATCCTAAAATAAGATACGGTGTTTTTTCCTTAATCATTATAGACCTTACGCACCAGAGAAACAAGGGCGCCGCCATCTTTAGAATATTGTCTTTGAACTTCCATTTTTGCGGTCGCTCTTCGCAGTCGAGGATTAATTCGCTTTTGAAGTGGATTTACTTAACGTAAAGTTAATATAAGTTATCATGAGGATTGTAATGTTTAAACAAATGTCTTAACAAATATCAGTAGACCGGGAAGATTTTAAAATGAGCCGTTCATTCATTAATAGGCAAGATCGCTGTGAAAATACAGATGGGAAAAACAAAAGACAAGAGCGCAGTGCTGAAAAGGGGCGGAGCTACATAAGGTCTGTAGCACAGCAAAACGTTTCTGAATGGCATTTTGGCTGTCAAATTATTTTGACTGTAGGTTCAATGCAATCTGAATCATATGAAGCTGTTTCTCTGGTAATGCAGATATGGAATGAATACAAATGTGCAAGATGGGGTGTCATTCACAGTAAGAGTGATAGAACTGTTTTCTTTGATCACCTTGTGGCTCCAGTGGAGGTAAAGCCTCTGTCCTTCAGAGAGAAGGCACACCGCTAAGACCTGCAAACATTAAGACCACGACATTAATTATGAGGACAAGCAGAGGCTGAAACGCTTTGTTGTTGTTGTTGTTCAGTGTTCTCACCAACAGGAGGGCGATGTAGGTGAAGAGTACGGCAGCGACCACCAACAACACCACTGACCACGGGAACCAGAATCCCAGATTCCCAAAGTTAAACCTGCAGAAATAAAGATCCGATTTTTTAAATAATAGATTTTAAGTTTTGTTTTGTTTGAGAATATTTTCTGCATCATTCTCATGGATTGGTGCCAATTGTATCTGAAAATATCAGGATTGCTTTTTTTTACCATATCATTTGAAACCTGAATAAGTATAATCATAATGGAAGGATTAAGAACTGTTAGCAATAAGCTTCATGAACAAACAGGAAAACAGGTTTATTGCAAGTGTTGTTAACAGAATGAGTACAATATGAATCGATGGCGATGTCTATAGACTTTTAGGTAATCAATTGACCTAGCAAGTAATTTTTATTGTGGCCATTTTATTAAATTTTCATATCTGAATGTTAGTGAGAAAAAAAAAATATATATACACACACATATATATATATATATATATATATATATATACACACACACACACATACATACACACACATACATACACACACAATATAATATGTAATAATTATTATATTTATATCATAATATTTTATATATATATTTATATATAAAATTTAAATATATATTTATTTGTATATTTAAATATATACATAACTGCAACACACTTCAACTGCAACATTTAAATATAATGGAAATTAGTAGAGGCATGCAAATTCCTAATATTTTGATGAAAATATATTTTTTAAATAAAACATGTAGTGTGTTTCTTAAAAAAAACAAAGAAGTTTCTATGCTTTCTATAACGTAAATCAAATCAAACAAGAAATGGCATATGGACACAGAAATGGCTTGGTTTTCTTTGAACGACCCATCTAATTGTGTGTCAGTCCATCTGTCTGTCCATCCCGATACACTCACCAGTCGAAGTCATTGTAGTCATTCTGCGCCTCACTCCAGAAGTACAGGAATATCAGGGTCAGGAAAAACGTTACGATGAGGATGGCGAAACTACCACACTCCAACTGCAAAACAGAGCCGTGAGAACACCCACACCGCACCACAGTTACTCAACAGTGTGAAAACTCAAGAGGAGGCTCAAATTAAAGCACCACATGAGGCTAACACACACTTTGAAATTCAAATAGTTGCATTCGAGCGGTACAGGACGGCCCGGCTCAGTGTGCAGCAATAGTACAATGAGTCATCAGGCTGGTTTTAAATGACTCAATGAATGATGCTTTCTGAGTCATACTGCAACTTATCGGCCCTGAAGACAGCTCGGTTTAGAAAGCGGCCCACCAGCTGAACAAGAGCTGCACTCGCTCGCTGTGTTCAAGAAAACTAATCAGCACATACAGGAAAAGTGCACCGATAAGTGCTTTCTATTGAGCAGCACGAGTGGATTCAGCAGACATTCTGGTTAAGAGGAAATTATTCACAGATCTTCACGAAGCAAGCCCCTTGAGAGAGAACAACATGTTAGAGAATGGAAACACTTGATAAACGTGGTGTACTCAATACAGAATGCACTGGGTTTATTCATCTTAATGTCTGTGCATTAAATGGTAATATATCAACATCAAATTAACATTACATTTGCATTTACTGAAGAAAGTTTCAGCGCTTTTAAGGTATCATAGAAATAGAGATTCAAGGTCATGGGTTTGATTCCTAGGGAATGCTTGAACCGATTAAATGTAAGCTTAGAATACAATGCAAGTTGCTTTAGATAAAAACAACTACCAAAATTCAGAAATGTAAAACGTGGACTATGTGGTGATTTTGGACACATGGATGCATGAAACTGGGACAAATGAGAAAACTACAGTGAATGCATGAGATTTTACTTTCAATAAAAGGAATATATTACATTCATATGTAAATAAGACGAAAAAATCAATTCTTTATATTTAATTCAAAATATATATTTTTAAACATACTAAGCGCTTTCAAAAGCAATATATGAATCAGTTATTTTAGTGCATTATATATTCATTATTACCATTATGTTTAATTTATTTTTCTTACATCTTTAGTTATTTATTTTAGTAATTTTAGTAATTTTAGTTTTTCATCTAATATTTATTCTTTATTGCAGCTTCATTTCAACAACCAAAAATGTTTGTAATAGTTTTATTTAATGATAATAGCCCTAATGGGAAATAACTGAAATAGTGCTCTTTAAGCATCTCTCAATCAATGTTATGGGCTAACAGTGTGATAATCTAATAAGAATAAAATACATACATAATTAAAAGTGAACTCACTAGATTGCTAAAATGATTTTATAATCTGAACATTCAAAAATAATGAATTTTATAAAGCAGAATTATGTTGTCTAATCATGCCGTCTGGGTGGAAAGGACACAATGGCCCAGTTTAACAGACAAGGTTTAAGCTTAAACCAGGATTAGGCCTCAGTTCAATTAGGACATTTAAGTGGCTTTTACTAAAGTCCCTTAGAAAAAAACATTACTGCTGACTGTGCATCTTGAGACTAAACAATGGCACGGACATATACCATTTTTAACTGCTTTCAGTTAAAACAGCTCAAACATGCATTTTAATCTGGGACTAGGCTTAAGCCTTCTCGGTGAAACCGGGGGCACATATTTTGGGAAAAAACCTGCATGTAAACCATCATAAGGAGGAATTTAAAAGCAGCATGAGGGACTTCAAGCATCTTTTCTCACCCGACTACAGCAGCATTCCCCCGGCTGGGCTTTGGCACGCTGGTAGCGTCTCCACTGGCAGCCGTAGAGGCCGGCCAGACACGAGACAAACGGCTGGTGCTCATAGCGCTGCAGCAGCTGCCGCCGCACCACCTTTAGCTTCCCCAGCTTCAGTCTGGACAGGCTCACCGGATAGCGGCCCATAAATCAGCCGCTCCCCTGCATGGAGCGGCCCGGAGCAGACGGATGGAGACCAAGAAAAATATCTGCAAGACAAAGAGAGAGATCGTGAAGATTTGTCTCGCTGTTCTCCAATTATATTGAATCCTATGGAGTCACATGAAGCTACAGCAAGAGAAAAACGATCAGTCTTGATAATTACATTGACAATTCCTCCAGTCACATGTCACCTCTACTGTGATTCCTGACAGAACGAGGCCTGTTTACAAAGAACCCTTCAAAAACCTTTAACAAACAGCACTCGTGACACAAATAAACTACAATCTCTAGGGGCCTCCCATGGGCTCCTGCCCTGCCAGAACACTCACATCTTCTCCCCATAAGCACACAGATCACAGACGGATGTTTACACATGAAATCACCGTGACATCACCTATTCTTATTTTTTATGGAACACTGCATTCTATTATAGATGATTTATTAATGCACACTTTATTTTTTTAAAGAAATAACATAATATTAGAATGATTTCTAAAGGATCATGTGACACTGAAGACTGAAAATTCAGTTTTGCATCACAGGAAAACATTACATTTGAAATTATATTCAAATAGAAAAAAGCCATTTTAAATGTCGCAATATTACTTTCCTCACTGTATTTATGCATGCAGCCTTGGTGAGCAGAAGAAATACATATCTTACCAACCCAAAACTTTTGAATTACTAGTAAAACAGTCACACAAAAAAATCAATTTAAATACAAGGTTATTAATCCAATTGTTTAATAACTGTTGTTTATTCTTATTTAGACACTGCACAATGACTCGATGGACTGGATCGTTTATCATCTTTGTCCCAGACTGGGCGGTCCGATGGGGGATCTGAAAGGGGAATTTAGTGGGGAATAATGTCTGACCCGCCTCTGATCTCCAAACAGACACATCAGGAGAAGACCAGCTTCCCCTCACAAAGCAGCTAAACCGGTTAGTAGATGTTAAGTCGGCGGATTATAGTAAAAACAGAAGAGATGTGATCCAGAACGCTAACTGCTCAAGTAAATCAAGACAAAACAGATACTGATAAACTCTAGCAAAAAAAAAAAGAGGCAAAATCAAAGACATTATGGAAGGCTCCATTACTAAATCTGTTTTATTTCTTGAGTCAGAACAACATTTCGAACAAACATAGTTTTCATTTAACACTCTTGATTGCACCTTTAAGCACACAGTGAAGTTGTCATTAGTTCACTTCATGAATAAGGAGATCACAGAAGCTTTGTCCTGCTGGGATGTCAGTGCCATACAGCGTGACTTCAGTGTTTAAACTTCAGGGAAGCGAGAGAGAGACATGGTCTTTGGCTCGTGTTGTAGTAGTTTGATGTTGAGGTCGGCTCTAATGAGAATACCTGCACTTAAGCCCCGCCCTGACTGACTGTTGTCATGGTGATGACTGTCCTTGAGTGAAAGTGTCCCATCAGGATGTGTATCCGCAGAGGGAAGCATTACAATAGCTTCTTTATTGCTTCACTCAACATCCTTAATGCAACTATGAATCTTTATACCTGTTCAAAACCTGGCAGCTCTGATCTATCAAATGGAAAACAGACATTTATTCCCAGTTTTACAGCAAAAAAAGTCATTTCTTTTTATTTTTTTAGTCTTGTAAATTGTTTTGCAGTAAAAATATCTATTAAAAAATGTATATACATGAAACGTGAAAATTTTAGTTGATAAGCAATACTGCATGAGATCTTAAGATTCGTTTTAACAGAACAAACTTTTGTGATTGCTTAAGTAATAGCCTATATATATATATATATATATATATATAGAGAGAGAGAGAGAGTAATTATATTAAGTGAAATTGTGAAAGACTTTGAGTCATATCTTATTACACAATGTCAGTGATAAAAGATTCATAGTCATTCACTTTTATGTACACAAGGCATAATTTCCTGTATGGTAAAATATGTCTCCAAAATGCAGATGAGATAACAGACAAAATTAAGTTTTGCTGTCACATGCTGACAAAAATCTAATATATCAAGTATATAAAGCAACATCATAAAAACACTGTTGTTTGAATGACAAATTGTGAATATATATACCCACTGATTAACTCACTGATGTAGCCATTAAATCAAACAGTAGGCTAGCCTGTGAACGGCAGTCCTTTAAAAGCTCTATTACAGGCTGCAAGAATAAATAAATGACTCAGGTTTTTAAAAATAATCCGAGAATATTTTATAGTTTGTCAGTTTTTTTTTATTTTCTAATTTTATTTAACGTAATATAAAAATAAATCGAGAAAAAATACAATATTAATACAGTAATATTGTGAAATATTACCAAAACATTACTCCAGTCTTCAGTGTCACATGATTTCAGAAATCATTCAAATATGCTGATTTTCTGCCCAAGAAATATTTCATTTTATTATCAATTATCTGCTTCATATTTTTGTGGAAACCAATCAAACCACAGCATGATACATTTTTCTATTATGAATAGAAAGTTCAGAAAACATTAGAAACATTATATGTCTTCACTGTCACTTTATTATTATATGTATTATTAACACTTTAATAATACAAAATATTATATATCAATATAACAAAATATTATTATATATTGATAGTATATTTTATATATTAGAATGAGTTCTAAAGGATGGAGTGATGATGATGAAAATTCAGCTTTGCCTCAAAGAAATAAATTATTTTGTAAAGTATATTAAAATAGAAAACTATTATTTTACATTGCAATAATATTTAACAATATAACCGTTTTTTTGTTTGTTTGTTTGTTTTTTCTGCAGGCTTGGTGAACAAAGACACTTCTTTCAAAAACATTAAAAATGGTAATGTTTCCAAACTTTTGAATACTTTGTATTGTATAACTTCATAAAATATATATTTTTAATATAATTTTAATTTAATATACATTATAAACTAAAACCCTTGACACAGAGGAGACACTGATAACAAGTTTGTTATCTGAACTTCATGGGCGCAGCCTTATTGCGCTTTTCATGAAGACTTACAGATAGTCATGAGGTTAAACAATGTTTAGATCAGCAGCTCCTGTCTTCTCATTAGCTAATGGAAGATCATGCCATCTTAACTGCGACCCAGAATACACAGCGCTATGGTCACGGTGCTCATTTCTGAATATAATCCAACCCACATAAAGCCAATTTCCTCATAGTGAGATTTGAACAGCTCACTATGAGGTGAGCTGCTCCCTGACACGAAGTAAAAAAACTCCTTTTGAAAGTGTTAATTTGACAATGAAATGTAAAGTAAATATTACAACATCTTTGTCATGCCCTTTGACCAAGATATAAGCTATGCAATCATGGCACACTAAACCTTAGCAGTAAAACATTTTCCTTGCCTATCTAGCATGCAAAGTAACTTTAGCTGAAATTACACAGTAAAACCGCCATATAAAATGTATTGCTGACAAAAGTCCTCAGACCAACAGTCAAATGACTGAAACAGATCTCAGTCCCATCTCCACCGGTAAACTCATTAACAAGAGTCTGAAGGCATTTGGATTGTAATAGAAAAGGTACTGGTTTTCTGTGCATGAGTTCACAAGTCTTTAATATGGAATGACTGAGGGAGATTGAGTTATGCGTCTAATTAATCAGAGTAAAAGCATTCTCACGCGCCGTCTCGACAGGGTGTAAAACGCAACGCACCAGAGAGAGGCTGCGCTTCATGCTCGCCGAGGCACAATGCTTTGTTGAGACATAAATAAACAATGCACACAAATAATGAGCGCTGTTAGTGGCAGCAGGACTATTGTTCATTCTTGCCCTGAATCACTCCATGCACCTCCAAATTCAATTTAATAATGAAGGCTTTATTGGCAAGACTAGGCTACTAGAGAAAAGCATTGCCAGATTTTAGTTTTCTAATATGATTTATCTAATGTAGTTTTGGTTATTTCATCCAAAGCAGTCCACATTGCATTCAAGGTATATATTTTATCAGCTCATGCATTCTTTGGGAATCATACCCATGACTCTGGTGTTGCTAGTGCTATGCTAGCTATGCTTATGCTAAGTACGATCAACTTGAATGTTTAAGTAATTTCAACTTGAAGTACATCAAACTGACTTAAAAATGAGTTGTATAACTTATTATAACTTTATAAATATCGTATAACTTAGAAAAAAGTAGAAAATTGCCTTATTATTGCCTAAACTTATTTGATGAGCAATGTAAAACATATGTTGTCATAACTTTTTGATCATATCATTTTTTAGGTCTAGGCCTATGGGGTAAACTTGTCATGGTGTTTTTTACCTACTGTTCTAGATGATTTTGTGGAATTATTAGTTAGTTGCTGGGGTTTTTTTTTTTTTTTTTTTGAGTTGTTGCTAAGTGGTTACTTACTGGCCCAGCAAGTCGCAAGATTTGAGATGTTATTCATGCCAGTGGTGATGCGGATTCAGTTACAGTTACATGATACTGGGGGTTAGAGGTGTATTCAAATCATTAACCCTCAATATGAGCAATAGTCATGCTTGACTTAGCAAATAAAAAGAAAGAAAGAAAGAAAGAAAGAAAGAAAGAAAGAAAGAAAGAAAGAAAGAAAGAAAGAAAGAGCAATAGTCATGCTTGACTTAGCAAATAAAAAGAAAGAAAGAAAGAAAGAAAGAAAGAAAGAAAGAAAGAAAGAAAGAAAGAAAGAAAGAAAGAAAGAAAGAAAGAAATCCTTTTAACACTTTGACCTGATCTCTCTCACACACCAGCACTAAACTATATCTAAAGAAGGAAATGACCTGTTCGGCCAGATACTGACAATCCTCTTACCAGTAGGCTACGTCAAACCTCTGGCGCCAAACCATTCTGAATCGGCTTTATGCCCAGCTGCACTACTTCCTGAACTTCAGCCAGCTCCTTGTTTCCTGTCTGCCATTATTGGCCAAATTGATTAATTCAGGTGTGTCTGATTATTGTTGCCATGACTACTGAGGTCAGGTACACCTGAATTAATCAATTTGACCAATAATGGCAGACAGGAAACAAGGAGCTGGCTGAAGTTCAGGAAGTAACGTTAGTGCAGCTGGGCATAAAGCCCATTAAAACTACACAAACATGGATTGATTTATCCCATTTTTTCTGCTAAAACAGTTGAGTGTTCTATTCTTTAAAAATAGAAAAACTACAGTAGGGTGGTATCAAATAGTAAAACTGGTATGGTAAGTTACTGAATAATTATAGCCTAGCCTACAGCAGGTTAAGTTATAGTTGAAAAGCCACAGAACTTTTACCAGGCCTATGGCATGTCCAAAAACTGATCACACAGACACACACATTTGTTTTCTCTGCATTTCCAGAAGCGTCTGAACACTGTAACTGCTCTATTCAGTGACACTGTCATTCATTTTCTTTGACAATAAACACCTGATGGTGACTGACACGCGACATTAAGAGTTCGACAGTTACAGGCTCATCGATGACGCCGCTGATCATTAGCGAAAGACACGTAGTTTCACTCACCAATCTTTCAGTGGTTATTCCGCTTATTAGTGATCATCGGCCGTAGTATCGAAAGATATCAGCTGCTCCAAATCGATCAGAGGACCGATGAAGCGCCTCTGTGTGTGTGTGAACAGCAGCTGCTGAACACCTGTTACTCGCACACAACAACACACTCACAATAAACTCCGCCCATAGACTCTCTCTCTCTCTCTCTCTCTCTCTCTCTCTCTCTCTCTCTCTCTCTCTCTCTCTCTCTCTCTCTCTCTCTCTCTCTCTCTCTCGCTTTGCATGTTTTTGTTGTTGTTGTTGTTGGTTTATCTAACATGGTTTATATTTCACATTTATATTTAGGATTCATATGTATTCCGATATGATTTTGATATCTGTGAAGTTTTATGTGAAGAATATTTAGTTGTGAGTATTAGTTAGGCTACGTTTATTTTTTCGAAGCAGTCACAAATGGATTCAAAATACAAATTAGCTACAGCTTGCCCTGGCCTTTTTTTTTTTAGTTAAACACACCTTAATTATATCGTGACTCTTGTCTTACTGTATGCAATGATATGATCATATTGTAATTTTAGTTTACCAAAAATAACCCTACTTTACATGTTTGAAACAAAACAACAACAAACTAAACCACAGCTATAAACCAAGCATTTATGCAACTGGACTTTTGACTGAAAATCTCATAATTGAGAACTTGTGATAGCTTCGTGACAGCCCGGTCTTTACATTAAATACAAATAAACATGTATTCAGTGCCCCATTCACTGTGTCATACTGTATTAGACTCATTTATTGTGCAGAATGACTGAAGCATTTCAGAGCAACAGATGGTGACTGTATAAATGGCATCTCATGATACTGATCATATGCCTTTAAACTGCTGTTCTCACTTAATATTTCATTACAGTGAAGATTACAGTCATTGCAGCTTTTAGCTTATTTAGTTAAGCTCTCTCTCTCTCTCTCTCTCTCTCTCTCTCTCTCTCTCTCTCTCTCTCTGTGTGTGTGTGTGTGTGTGTGTGTGTGTGTGTGGTAGCCTGATCTCCCTGAGATAGGAAACTCAATCTATGACACTTTTAGGGTATAAAAATACAATAGTCTTCAAACTAATACTGCTTGTAAACTTACACTGCAGTCATTGAGTAACATTCTGGCTCAGTTGTATATGGGGCATGCTGGTAGGCTGCTTTTAAAGCAGGGCATTAGCAATCCAATTTCCAGTGGGTCAATCATGAAGAAAGCTAATCGTATTTTCTGGAATAACAGGCTCAGTAGTGAGAGGATGAATAAATATTGTTCCAGTGATATGATTTAAACCCTGTGTGAATCCTTGGCTCTGAAAAAACCCTCAGCTGTATTCTGTCTCAGATCCAGTGGCTTGAATTTGTAATGCGTTTATGACGAAACTCAGCTGTGACGCAGGAAGTTCAATTTCTCTCATATTTGCTCTCAAATCTGCATGTAAGACTGCACTGTGCTCACCGGGAGGTTCGTCATCTGCCTGTTCCCAGATATGACATATCTCACCGATGCAGCTAGAAATGTTTCGTTCTAAAAACATTTTGGGAACATTACCACAAAGTTCTACTAATGTTTTCAGCGGTTAGTTTTATTTTGGTTCCCAGAATGTTCTCCACAGCAAAAACTCCAATGATAAAAGTTAATAAGATAACTAAGTGATTAATTGAGTGATGATTGAGCATTATTGAAGACACCTGATGTTAACAAGCAGAATCAATCAAGGAGAAAATCACTATTTTTAAGTCACCATTATGGTGATCAGTGTGTGCTTTAGTTGGGTAGGCTACTGATCTCAATATGGCTGAGTTTCCGTATTAATAAAGTATCCAAAGTGCTTCATGCCCATACATCCGTAATGTATTGAGGGGACGGTGAGGAATAAATGGTGAAAAATAGCTTGATTTAGTGCAATGCGATAATATGAAGTCAGGCCATACCATATTTCAGATTTCAAAATGTAACGATATTATTTTTACACTGAAACCACTTGTTTTGCCACCATAGAGAACAGATACGAAGCTCAATGTGGCAGAATACAATAGTCCACATATGACAGCTACAGAGATGGCAGTTGGTCTAGATTGTAGAGTAGGAGCTCACTTAATTGCATGGTAACATAGTGCTGAAGGCATGGAGCTATAAACCTCTGCAGTTCCACACAGCGCTGCCTGGAAACAGGAGAGATGCATAGATCACAGTCCTGCCGTATCACTACAGTGCCCTTGAGCCCAACACTTAACCCTGTGTGGCCCCCGCTAATAATGCTGTACAAGACACACGTGACAGAGACCATCTGTGAAATGACAAGTCTGCACACATTACATCTTTCACCTCACTGCAGCCAAAATGATCAGAGACACGCTTTTGGAGTTGTGAGCGTCTTCTTACACATATACATAAATAAAACTAGAGAGAGAGATCTATCAGTTATATGGATAGATAGATAAAATAAACATAAAAATAAACAAAGAAACAAATTCATTTGTGTTGCTCTGAGAAAATGTTTCTAGAAAACATGATGCATAGACATGTATAACCCAATCAAAAAGCACACAGTGATCCTTCATGTGAGTGTGGTGAGAGATGAACAGCTGCGCACGTCACTGTGAGCTCAAAGGCTCAATTCCTTCTCCCCTAAGAGTGGAGAAACCTTGAGAAGTAATAAGCAGAGCGAACCGGCGTATTCCTCCTTTATGAAAACCCACCTACGCTCATCAGCTGCTGACATGACGGATGGAGCTCAACTCACAGAGGAAAGTTGGATAAAAGAAAGATGCCCTTCACCTGACTCATATTGTTCTCTCATCAAAACCAAGCTTGGATGCATGAGCATTCATCTTTCATCTATTAAAGCATTCATGTATGAACTTGCATAATCAACAATGATAAACGACAATTTCTAAACTTAAAATTATTGCATAATTCATAAAAATAATGTGGTCACACAGGCTTTTTTTTACAGTGTTCATATTAATTACAACGGCAATAACAACTACGTAAACACATTAAACAAACAATAAAATGTGTCCATCATTGCATATTCAAATATTCCATAACAACCCCTGATGAGCAATCCTAAATGACTGCAAACTAAAAACACCTATATTTAAGGTGGAGCTATTCCTAATGGACATTAATGTAAAGCTCTAGCAAACATTTCACATGCAACATTCCCACACAGTTGAATCCAGCAGTTTGAGAGTAGAATGTGATGAAAGGCTCACCTGATGTTGGCGTGCGTCTCTGCAGCAGTGAGCGCATCTGTGCATGTGTTCAGCATCAGCACCACAACACAACACGCTGTGCCTCTGAAGGGTGAAGACACACGCAGCGCTGTTACACTGACGCGTGGAGCTGAAGGTTTCACATTACCGCAGTGTCTCGACTGCCTGACTGCAGTGCTGCTGCTGCTGCTGATGCAGGGACTCCTCTGAGCTCAAGGGTATCGATCGCTCTTATGTAATTCAGCTCTCATTGTGCAAAATGCCTCTCTGGCAAGAAAAAAGATCAAGATTTTGGTTGTAATCACCATGTATTCAGTCAAATCGAAAATTGTTCAGACACCAGATTTAATTTTTTTACAAGTGAGTGCAGGACACTACATTTATGTATGTGAGGATAGTAAAATAAAGTAAACTGTGACATATTATACCCAATGAGTCTTCATACAGTGGACTACCAGTAAAATTGAGAAAAATTTGGGACTAAAAATTATTGAGACACTTTGACCATGTTTTGTATAGGGTGATTTTTCTTTAATTGCAAATGCGACCTTTTTACACCACAGACCAGAATTAAGCATTGTGTGGTAATTGTTGACCTAAATTGGTATTATCTAATTGTGTATTTAAATTGAAAAGCTGACAGCTATTCAACTTTATTCATTTGTGAGACAGTCAACGATGGCCCAAACCAGTGAAATACTGATTTAATAACTCGTCATATTTTATTACCATTTTCGACACTATAGTGAATAAGCTGTGATCATGTGAGAAGGTGTCTGAATAAACTTTGGTTTGACTGTATGTTTGTTAGTGTGATGCATATAATTGTTTCATCATGTTCACATGATTAGGCTTTTTATTGACTGTCAAAAACAAATAATTATTTTCTCATAAAAAAAGAGCTACTATGAGCTCAACTCCAAAATCCCAGATGTTTCATGTTTTGAAAGGCTACTTAGATGCTCTTGTTGTAATGTTGGTTACCATTGGTTGGTTTAACCCAGTCTCTTCTTCATTTTTCATTTCTAGGAACATACAGTTCATGCAGTATATTTCCATTCACATGATCTGCTTACCCAACCTTAATGTTTATAGTATCACTGCACTGGAAACTGTGTGGGTTTATGAGAAGTCTGTGTGTACTGTAAATAAAGAGTGTATAAAGGGCACTCAAAAAAATGAACTAGGAAGGTTGTGCACTTTACATAATATATTTATATTTAGTTTACTTTACTTATAATAATTGTGTTTTTTGACTTTAAATTTTTTTTTTCTATTAAGGTCTATGTAATTATGTCTCAACTTAACAGTACAAAATCCTAATGCGTTGTCTAAACACAAACCATTTATGTCAAGTAAAAAAAGTGTACATCCAGAGGGTGGCAGTATAGTGCGAGACAACTGCCATTTTGCCCGAACTTAATTTTATTCTGTGCTTAAATCTACGAACAATTTAAGTTTACTTAATCCGTTTGTGTTGGATTACATGATTGATTTGTGTTGCGTTAACTGAAACTGGGAAGTGCTTTTAGTTCCCAGCATGCTTTGCACATGGTTGAATTAAGAGAGAATAAATGTTAAAATTAAGGGTTATTTGATGTTTTTTTGAGAAATTTAGAAAAGGGGAAGACTTGATAGTGTGTAATAGTGTTTAATGTTAAATTACATTGGAATTATTAAACCATTTAAATTACAGTGGGTTACCATTGTGGAGAAGAGTGGAGCATTTTGTTTGGCTGTCGACTGATTTTTTAAATTTTTTCTATTGCTTTGGATGAAGGAGCATGTAAATCTTAGCATTCAAGATGCTAATATGTATTACTGCTAACAAATAGCTACCTAAAGTGTATCAATTTATTTAAATGTCACTGAATCAAATAAAATATAAATG